ATATATATTTTAACGGAAAATAAAAATTTAGGAGCATATTGAGATGATTTTCTAAATAAATTAAATAACGATGAAGAGAAAGTGGAATATTCTATTTTTAAATATATTTTTGTAACTGTTTACTTGTCATTAATTCACTTGTCACCGAACCTTTATTTTGCATATTTTACCCCGTTCTGATTGGAATAATACCTGGCTCTGTTAGACCTTCTAAGTTTACTCACTTTATGGAGATAGCAGGAGCTATCGAAACATCCGTTTTATTTTATTATATCTTTATAAATTTGTGTTGCGCAAGTTATCTTTCAATGATTGTACATCGTCTTCTCATTGTTTTTACATTTTATTTTACTTGGAGCACATATGCAAATCCGCTCTTCAATATGTATTTTTGTAGGTAGCCCTAGGCCTATGTGTGTATGGTTTTATTACTTTCAAGAATTTCCTACGAAAAAAAAAATTTAAAAATGGAAAGTTGACCAGGATAGATGGGCCTTGGGTTTTTTTTTTTACGAAAGAAAGTTTTTCACTGGTCACTTTTTTAACTTTGTCAAATGTTTCATCATAACCAAGATGGTATCAGACGACAATTTATAACACCACTCCCTAGCGATAAAAAGTGCACTCTCGATACATCCGGATTGGGGGGTGGGGGAGGGGGTGGTAAACGATGCGCTACCTCTTTCCTTCCTCGACAGCAGCAAAACAAGTAACCATGTGTGCAATTCTGCTTTTCTTTCCTCCATGGTGAAATCAAGTTGATTCAAAATAGAATTTTTGACCCTTGGAGTTGGAGGCTTGAAGCGCTCCGGACCCCACTACCCCAAGCCCTTCAGTACGTACATATCCCTTTCCCCGGTCATTAGTCTTATATCTTGTCGCAGATAGGAGCGTTCTTCAACTTAATTCAGGAGCATCAAAAATATTAGGCCTATATTCATATCATATATTCATATTAGGCCTCCTATATAAGAAAGTTTCTTGGGAGAAAGTATGCTCGATAATATACGGTAATTAATGCGGACCGAGAGGATATTCCATTGTTACCTTTAGCAGTTAATTACGGAATAATTAAAAGGTTTTTCTGTACAATAGGGTTAAGTAGGCATATTTTTGGCTTGATAAGGAAAATTAAAATAAATAAAATAATAAAAACACTGAAGATATAATATAGGATCGAATAAATTGGCACTGGAATTTCTCATAACTGATAATTCACTTAATTATTATGAATTACATAATACATGGATAGTCAGCCAATCATTCAACTAGTTAACTACTGAATCGATTAATCAATCAACAGATCGATCAATTAAATCCACTTAATCAATCACTTAAATTTCTAATCTATTACTCAATTCAACTACGGTATTTATTCATTCATTACATTTGTCAATCGTTCAATCAATTAATCAGCCACTCCGACTCAATAATTTCCTTTATAATGCAAATCTGTAGAAATAAACATCTACATTGCAGTGGCGTATCTAGAAGTCTTAAAATGGGGTTGCTGATGGGGGCGCGATGGTGAGAAGTGGTTGTATCGATGATCAGTTGAGGGGCGCTAATTCGCAAAATAAGTTTATTTTAGGTGATTTTTAACTACTACTACTACGTTTTTTTATTTTTGGGGGAGAGGCGACC